TATATATATATTTATATATATATTTATATTTATATAATATGTATATATACTACTTCAACATGCAACATAATCTCTCACTCTCTCTCTTTCATTCCCCGTCAGTTTTCTATTCCTCTATGAAAATAATGATAACATTAACGCATTCACATAACTCTATTATCATTATCAATGTACTAGATAACAAAAAAGAGAAGAAAACAAAATAACTTCAATTATCAAACAATATACATATTCTAAATATATGAAATATATACTCTTGAGACATGTGGAGGCCACAGCGACGAGATGATCCATTCTTTCGCAATGAAATCAAGTCAATAATAATCACAACAGCGTAAGCGATAATGTAGTTCATATAATTACGCATTTGCGTTTCCGGCATTTTTTTAACTTTGCAAAACGCAAGAAATAAAGATTCCAAGATTCGAGAAACTGGAAACTTGGTCGGATTTATTCTTCTCCAACTATCCTTCAATTAATTTCTTACTTTCTTTTATCAATATTAAACTATTAATTAATTAACTCTAAAACCACGCTGTTGGATCCCCCAATCGTATGTGGGATTCAGTTTTGAAACGCGACGTTTAAGGATTAATTATCTGAACATTTACAACATATTTTTCTACGTTTGCATTATTCACTCGATGAAGTCCTGCAAATAAAAAGAATTCAAAATATAGACCAAAATAAAACACAAGATAATATGTAACATATCTAGTTGCGTATATCATTGAAGATAAATAAGGAATCACCAAGAAAGATTGACAATTCATAGAAAAAAAACATACAAAGAAAGAAAAGATGTGTGAAAGAGAAGAACATCTGAATTTGTCGCGCTTTCTCGTGCGCCCGTCTTATACTTAAATATTAATAGTTCTCGATCTAAGACGATCTACTGCTGTGGACTTACGGCGTTTCCTCACCGTGAATCACAGAACGATCAGGAAGTATCTCTGAAAACTTTGGGTCATTAAATGTCTCATAAACGTTTTATTGTAGTACCGGATAAAATTAATCATTAATTTTTTGAGAAGGATGATGAATTCTGAAAAGTATATGAAAACATTTTTACGTCTTCAAAAATACACGAAATTTCGTACAGTGCATATTGCAGTAACTATGTGCTACTAAACACTCGTTTAAAAACGCTGTTCAGCTGGACTCTGCCATATCAAAATGATTAAAATCAGAATGTCGGAAATTGAGATTTTTAAAATCCTAAAATTAAGATAACTCTGAAGAGGACTCAAGATAAATGTGCTGAGACCCAAAGTTCACTTACTGCACTTCTACTTTCCCTTTTATAAAAGACTTCGCATCACAAATGTGGCACAGAATTGTCAATATCGGAACAAGGTAACGACCTTGCAATCCGAGTTGAGATTAATCCTGCACAGTAACAAGTTAAGACAACACAAGGTTCAAAAAACATACGATGGGTATTCAAATTTAAATTGCGCGGCTAACTAAATAACGAGGCGTGAGCATCACATGATCCATCACATCTTCTGAAATGTATAAGTACTTTCTTGAAAAAATCAATAAACCTGTGCAAAGTTCAGCAGAAGCGGCAAATATGAGCGAAAAAGTTCATCCACATGTGTATTGTTATCGATGTTCTTGAGTAGCGCGGTTTGTTCTCGCGTTGTCGTTCTTCTTTAACTCTTTACTCCATTTATAAATGCTTATAACCAACATTTCTGCACCATACTGTGCTTTTGCCCTTGTATATATTTCATATGGATTTTATTCCTTCCTTGGTAAAGAAGAAAATTTAATTATTATGCGTTGTTCCACACTTGGATAAACTTCTTCGCCCACAGGCTGTTATTTATATTTATGTTCGTGTTATTTATATTTTTATTCTCAGAATCTTCATTTTCTTTCTCTTCAACACTCGAATATATATATTTATCTCGTTTTAAGTGTAAATTTTTTTAGGGATTTCAAGCAACTCTTAAAACGACCTATTCACTTCTATCAAACTTTGCATTAGCAGATCTATCAATTTTATCAAAAAAATACATATTCCAGGGCATTATGTAATGTGAATCGCATGCATTGTTATTTGAACGTGCAATTTAAATAATAATTAAAATTTGAACATCCGTCTTATGTTCATCTACAAGACGTTTTAATTATTTAAACGTTCTTGAATCCTTGTATCCTACATTTAGCTAGTAACGGCCTAGTCTAAGTTCCATATAACATTTGAAACACTTCAATATAAGGCAAGTGAAATTTAAAACCAGCCGTCTATGTTTAGCACCAAATGCAGGACACGGCAGGCAGATTCTTTAAACTTTCATTCGAAAATAAATTCGTTGAAGAAAATCATCCTCTTCTTTATTGCAAAACGCAATAGTACTACAAGAGGAATCCGCTTTGCGGAAGCTGCTCGAAACAGTTGGGATTGATGTAGCTCAGAAGATCATGTTCCGACATCGAGGTGAGTTCTTGAGGCAGCATCCCATCCTCCGTCTTCCTACTGGTTGAGGTACTAGCGGCAGAATTGGGAATCGGAGCGTTTACAGTCTGACGATTTGAAGTGACTGGGAGTGCGACTGGTGGTGATTTGCTGGCAACTTGTTCGATGATGTTGTTTTGCGCCGAGGGAGATTTCGGTAGGATTCCCTCCATCGCATTATTCATTAATTGCGCGCTTTGAGTCGCCACGCTGTTCAGAATTTTCTTTGTAGCGATGATTGCATGAGCGGTAGTTGTCGAGATCGGCCGATTGTTGATAATATCCTTTGTGGCGTTGGTGATGACACTGTTGATAGCTTGTTCCGCTGCGTTAGTCAAACGCTGTTGAGAGGGTTCCTGAGCAGCTCCACTAGCCAAAGCGGAACTAGCTTCGGCTACAAAGCCCGCAGGTTGGTTCAACATGGAACCGATGTCTTGTTGAACAGCCTGCTGCATGGCTTGGGCTGCTTGAGCTTGTTGGACAGCTTGTTGCACCGCTTGCACCTAAAAAATTTTTTATTTGACATTAATTGTCTAATTTGGAATCATAATTTTTAATAACTAATAAATAATGATAAAGAGAAAGAAAAACTATAACTTTTTTTAAATCTAGAATTATTAAAATTTTATGTTGTTTTTAAATTTTGAAAGAAAAAAAAATATATACATATATTTAAAAGTTTGCATTTATTTCTATATTTCTATTTATAATAAATGAAATGTATATAAAATTACCAACCTGCTGCACCACTTCTTGCGTTGCTTGTTGCACTGCTTGTTGCACTACTTCTTCAGTCGCCTGCTGCACCGCTTGTTGCACTACCTGAGCCGCTTGAACTTGCTGCACTGCTTGTACTTGTTGCACCGCTTGCTGCACTACTTGAGCATGCTGCACTACTTGCTGAACTACCTGTTGCTGAGCCTGATGCACTACTTGGACCGCCTGTTGCTGCGCTTGCGCAACAACTTGTTCAACTTGCTGCTGCGCTTGCGCAACTACTTGCTCCACTTGTTGTACCTGTTGCTGCATCACGGCTACCTCTTGTTGCGTGAGTACTTGAATCTGCTGTTGCATACGCTCTGCCGGTATCGCATTACCAGAAACCTGGAAAAAAAAACAGAAAGAATATATTATATTTATTTGCATTAAAAGGAATTTTATTCTAACTGGAAATTTTTTGTTCTAAATTTTTAATTTTGTTCTAAAAAATTCTAGATTTTTTTCTAAGCTTTAATTTTAAATTCCAAATTTTGTTTTTGCTACTAACTTTTTTGTTCAACCGCTTATATCTGTTTTGTTTTTGGATAAGATATGATACCGTAGAATTCGGTGTGGCAGTTGCTGCGGTGACTTGTGTTTCTGGCAATGGCGGTAATAGTGCAGCATTGATAGTAGTCAGGAGATTATCTCCTGTTTGTTCTACTGTCGTCGCAGGCGCTACCGATGTTGTGCCCGCAATTTCTGCCAATGGCTGTACCGTCTGTGACGGAATCAGCGCTTCCAGCAGCATTGTCTTCACCGGAATCGGTGGACTAGTTCTAGTCTGTTGGCCGCTACCCATTGTTTCGTGTTCTGCTGTCACATGGCTCAACATTGCAGTGGGATTGGAATTCACCGAGTGCAATGGAGAGACCATTTGTTCAGCTGCAGAGTTTACTAAAGCATCCAACTTTACTGAAGTTTGTCCTGAAAAGAATACCGTTACAATGTTTTATTTTTTTTATATATTATACAAAATAAACTTCTTGTATTCTTTAAATTATAATTTGCAAAATTTTCAGTAAAGAAATGAAAAACTTTAAACTCATTATGATAAAATAAAAAGAGATTATGCCTATATAAATAAAGCTTTTAATTATATTACGTATATCATTTTCTGTGCAATAATGTACCTGTATTGGCTAGAATTCCCGGAGGAGCCGCCGACTGTTGGCTGTTTCCCGAAATGATGGAAGCTCGCTGCTGTTGCATAGCGAACTCATTTTCTGGATTATCTGATTCCTCGGTGGTGCCAACTGAGGATTCCATGTGATTCAGGTACTTTTCCACCACATGACTGTTTGCTGCCGACAACGGCTGCGTCCCGGAAGCAGCGGTAAAACTCGATAATGTGCCGAATTCGGGATGATGGTGATGTTTCATCCGAAGATCGACTACACCGGCACCTTGAAGGGCGGCTCCATTGGAGCTATTGTCCGTTGATAAGACACCATTTGTGTCCTTAAGGCAATGAGGACTAAGAACTTGAACTTGATTTGATTCATGCATGCCTACAATCGACAATTAAGAAATGTCTATTTTAAGAATTAAAATTATTTAAAATTTAATTTAAAATTTGAAAATAAAAGTAATCAAGATTTTATTGATTTAGTTTATCGAGTGCTCGATTTAGTTTTATTTAGTCAAATCAAAGATTTATTACTCACCTCCAAACGAAGTTGGATGATGTGCAGCCACCATTGACAGAGGATGCTGAGTACGTATCAGATCCACTACTCCGAGAAGGCCACTTACAGTCTCTTGAACAGGACTGTTATTAGCCGTCGCAACGGCAACAGTCCGGATAATATCAGTTTGCGAGGTTGCAGCTTCTCTAGAGTTCTCGTTAACCAACTGTTGAAGAGGAGAGGTGACCGATGTCGGTCCATTTGTGGCCGTCGTCGGAGTCGGAATGCTTTGCATGCTATTTTCACTTAGCATACTATTTTGACTGTTTTCATCCAGCACTTCTGTTTTTAAGTTATCCGGCAGGATCAGCTGAAGATTGGACGAGGATCGTCGGTTCATTAGAGGGTTTGCTACGAGCACTGGGGGTGGCATCATGACATCAGAAGGTGAGTTTGAGGATTGTGAGGCCCATAACATCACGGGAGTCACTTGGGGTGTTCCTGCTGGTGGTGGGCTGGGGTCGCTCTTCAAAGTCTCTGAAGAGGTGTTTTGTTGCGGCTGAGCCGGTGCATTCGATAAGAAATTTGCAGCTCCCGCAGCTGTTTGCGTTAATAGATCTGATAAATATTAAATATATCATGTTCAATTATTTCTCAAAATATCAATCTATCTAGAAATTTGAAAAACCTAAAGTTAAAATAAAAATTTTAGAAACTTAAGAATACAGAAACGAAAGAATTCAAGATATGAAAAGATATAATATTTAAGGGGATCCTAAACCGATTACCGAACTTGATCGAGATCGATAGTGCAGACTTTTTTAATTCCAAATGCGATAATAGTGACATCTTTGATTCATTTCTTACATTATATTATATATCGTTCTATCTCACTTAAACGCATACATCTGTCCTTATCTAACATATGCCAGCACCATCTATCGCAAGATAGCCGCGTAACTATTACTACACGGAATTTCGATTCTGTTGACAATCCCAGTCTTCGCAAAGCATCCGTATTTTCTATTCGGTGGGATTACTTTCCTTCTAGACTTTCAATCTTAGTTCTATAAACTTGGTATCGTTCGTTACAATAATGTGACCTCAGACCTATGCTTATTTTCAAGATATAAACTATAAAACTCTTGTATGAAGCAAATATAGACCTGAGGTGTCAGCTGTATGAGCTAAAAGTAAGCGAATTTTTAAACTTTTCTTCGATTTTCTCCTAAAATCCGATACAGCTGAGGTCCTGTTTGTGCGTACTTTAATTCTGTAAACTTTAATTTTGTAAAAACAATTTTTTGCAATCCGTCAATTCAATTCGGAGATATTTCACCGAATGGAAATGATGGCAAAGTAGAACAATTTTAGCATCCCCTTAAACATGTATAGGAGTTTAAAATTAAAATACCCAAACATGCAGGATTCTAATGTAGATTTAAAATTAATCTACAAATACAGAAATCTAGGATCCAATAATCAAACTTACTGCTGGATGGGACACTTGTAGCTAACGATACCGCGGAGGAGGATGTGGCTAAGTGATTAGCGTCACCGTTTGTTAGCGGAGGTGAGATGGACTCGACTTTACCTATGGACGGCTGTGGGGGAGTAGAGGTAGCCGTGTAAAGAAAAGTATGCGGTTCACTGGTCTTTCCGGATGACACCGCAAACAATTTGACGCTGACCGTTTCTGTAGGCGCTAGATCCTGCCTACGATAAGGTGGTATCACGCATACTAAGTGTACTGGGTGCAAGTGCTCCTTGTCCGGCAACACAGTGCACTCCCAATGCGGTTCCAAGCTACTCGATAGATCATCACTGTCCAACTGAAAGACTATTCGAGTATCCTTCAGGAAGTTTTTACCGAGTATGATGAGTTCTAATCCGCCCGTGCACGGACAGGACGTCAGAGACTTTTTGCAGATCTCCGGAATACCAGGTGGTTGGGCTGTGAACATACAAGACTTTATAAGAAAACTGAACAAAGCATCAATGTTCTTTATTGAGTCCGAATCTTCATTTCCAACTTTTTAATTAAAAAATTCAGCGATTCCGAAAATTTTTAGAAAACAAGATCTTTCATAAGTTACTTTGTTAGAAAGCTCTTGAAAAGATTAAACGGCATAATTAAACGACACAAGTTTACGATAAAAATATGCGGCTCAGTTTTTATTATAGCCGTAGTTTACAGTCAGGTATAATTATGTAATATATACGCGGATCGCAAAGTGTTAATCAATTCCCTTATCTGTTTTTCTAAGTATCTGAATAAAATATAGATTGTATCAGTCAACTCACTGCAGACTATCGGCTGGGAACAGATTTGCAGGGTCTCTGTAGTCCCGTCGGCGTGCTTGATAGTCGTGCGGAAGATCATGCGGCACCGTGTGGATTTTTTCTTGCTTCTTCCTTGTAACAGCCCGGCTTCTTGAGGAAACCTGTGCTCGACGTCAACATTACGCTCTTTAAGAATGCCAACGCAGTCGCAGGTAACATCTTTTGCCGGATCCATATCAATCTCTATTACAATAGTGCCATCGATCTTCCGTTCGATACAGGGTGTGGAGTTCTTGCCGCTTACTCGACAGGCCTGGTAGAACATGTGGGGTGCCACTCGGCCAAGATCAGTGCCGATGAACACTTGTAAAGTCGTCGGTTTGTCGTAACCGATCAGTCGAACCATGGGAAAGCCATTTCCGCTACGGTCTTTCACCGCACCTCGCGAACCTTCCGTCTGATAGCGAGCTCGATGCTGTTGCTCGGGTTGACAGACGATCTGCAGTTGAGTTTTGCCGTCGGCAGAAACGTTGGCTGAAGATCAAAAAATACCGTAAACAATATTAGATCGGGATACTGCGTGGGTTTACCTGGGGAGTAAGACAGGTCAGGAAATAATTTACGAAACATGCAGGTGTGAGCAAATGCAGATTGTCAGGATCTTTGGATAGCGAAATGTTTACTGTTGATCTGTTGAAAGAATGCCAATGGAAGATAGATATATTATAGTGTTGGAAATGATCCAAGAATAAACTAGACGCATAATAAATTAACAGATTCTTGACTATTTCAGATTTGGAAGAGATCCAGAAGATACGTAAAGACTTCATCTATAAAAAAATAAATTATTTTAAATTTAAAATATTCAAACTTTAAAAAAAATTGACACGAATTTAAAAGAAATCTTCTATGAAAACTTTGAAAGTATTTAAAGTAAATACTTTCAATAATTCTTATTTCTTAATTTGGAATACAGAAATCACAGAAGTTCGAAATTAAAAAATTTTAGTTTAACAAATTTTAACTTTGTAAAATAAATCCATTTACAATGTTTGTATCATCAATAACAAATCCATCATTAATCAGTTTGACTTTTTAAATTAAGACGCAAGAGACATTTTTATTATCATTTTTACGCCATTGTTTATGATCAAACATTACTCCAACATTCGTAGATTTGTAACTACTACATGAAATATACTTGTTTGACCTATATTTGGTATCAAAAAGAGAAATATCGAATTTCACGTATGTTGTCTTTTTTTCTTATCGCTCCAAGAAAAAGAGAAAAAGAAAGCGTTGGCTCTCGAACCGAAGAAGATAACTTATCGGAGGTGAAAGCGATAAAATAAGCAATTTTACCGGAAATAAATCCATCACTGAGTTTGCTCTTGTTGTAAAACATTGAAGGTGTCAATGCGACTTCTGCGATCAAAGTAATGAATTGTTTACCCCTTTCCTCTGACAAGACAAACGTAAGCTTTTAAGAGAAGCGACTGAGTTTATGAGATGCAATAAAATCCACGAGACTTTTGTTGAAGTTGATACTGAACATAAACCGCATTTTTTGTACAATTGCATCAACCAGCAACACACACAATACACTTGAAAATATTAAATTGTATCCAACAAATATCTCATTTAAAAAGAGAAATAAAAATTGGAATTATTCTTGATAAAAGACAAAATGTCTAAGAATCCGTTTTCATCCAGACAACACACACGTCTGAAGAATGTTATAAAGACTTCATGAAGTCTTTTACAATGCGAGTTGTCTGGAAGAAGTTTAAGAATCCCAAGATACAAACCCAAGTAATCTAAAGACCAAAGGTTTATAGGGTCAAGAGTTCACGACTTGAAAAAATTAAAACAATCGCTAGAAATGATTCAGTATTCACAATCTGTTTTAGAAACTTGGAGTTGAACTTGTTTTTATCACAATATATAATACATTCATGCTTAATACTTATTCTACATTTATCTAAAATACGTACATAGTTGTGAAATAAGAGTAACAGGTCCCTGATGAGTGATCGGTGCTTTTTTGGACAACACACCCATGGCAGGTCGAGGTCTGGTTACTCCCACAACTCTACCTATGGAATTAGCATTTCCGGATCTATTGCCGGGTATTCCTCCCAAGCCGATTCCATTGACGGTGGTTCTTACTGTCGGTGATTTATTGTCGGGGCTGGTTCCGGGGGCTACTTCCGGAAACGCAAAGTTTGCGTCCTCGGACTCTAATTTAATATCCATTTTCCTTCTCTTCGAATCCTCCTCGCCAACGTTGTTCCAGAGCTGATAAAACAATCACAGAATTAATCATTCTATGTATATACTGGATATTTTATGATAAATATTCACTAAGAAAAATTTCGAATTAATTGAACAATTAAACAATCAGCAGATGAAAGATAGTGCTAAAACCTGAAATATTGTATCACACAAAATTTGGCAGTGGTTAATATACTAGAAATAACTCCATTATTTATTTATTCTTTTTTAGTAAATTTTTAATTAATAAAATATCAAGGCTATTAAATTGAATTAAAATCGAATTAAATTATTTTTCTTATTAATTTCATCTATTTCGAATTAAATTATTTTTTTATACATATTAAGTTAAATTGAATCATTATAAAGAATTCTCAACATGAAATATTAAAATGTAGCATCACATTTTTCGCTCAATATTATGGGAAAGAGCTGAACGATCAGTATAACAGGAACACCCTGTATGTGCGTGAGCGTCTGTGTGCTTAATTTAACGAATCAGAACTCGGCTGGGTTCAACTACCGTTCGAGCGGTCGGCGATCTCCGATGACGATATTGATGACGATCACGCGTACCCTCGTGAACACATTAAATAACTTCATCTGGCTTCTAACGACAGGGTGACTCAGTGCCGTAATCGTAGCAAGAGTGAGGAAAGCGCACGGACCACAAGAGGGGCCCGTCAACTCTTCCTCCTTCTTCTTCTTCACTTTTCCATCTTTCAGCAAAGAGAAAAAGAAAACAAAACGAGAAATATATCGGAAGCGAAAAACATTAGATTCGATTAGTAGCTTGCGGAATCTTGAAAATTTTATCAATCTTTTCAAACGGATAAGTTACTCAAGTTGCTCTTTCAGGTAGCTTCAGATTTCCTTTATTCTTAAGAATTCCTATAAATACGAAATTCGAAAACAAGTTTACGGGCCCCTGAAATCTTCTAAGAACTTCTACATAAGATAATAGAATTTTATAGTATAGATGTTAGAACTTTCACAATAGATATATATACTGAACTGTTACAATAAATACTTAGATAATTACTATATACATATTCTAAACAAACAAGATTAATTAAGATCATTTGGTTTGCAGAATTTTAATTATCATTAAGAGGTACTAACAGTGATGTTGTTGAAGTGCTGTTGACGTTCCTCAGAGCCAAGACCGGAGTCGTTCGAATTGTCGTCTTGCGTCGTACCGGTCCTAGGTCCGTGTTCATCAGAACTCCTCGTAGTTATACCACCGAAGGTTGAAAATCTGGATTGTTTTGGTTGTTGCTGCTGCTGCTGCTGTTGTTGTGGGGTTTGCTGCTGCTGTTGCTGCTGATTAGGAACCGTCCTCCTGGTCGCTGAATGGGCACGATTACCTACGGTGCTTCTCGAGACGGATGTTGTCACCGTTGACGACGCACCGCCTGCATTGCTACCTGCAAATTAGATCTCGTTATTCCAGTATCGCCTTTCACCAGTTTTGCAGTGAGATGAAGACAATTTTAACATTTTAAACAGGTGAACAGACAAACACATAAATGAAAGGGACACACAGATGGGTGTAAAGAGATAGATCTTGTAAAATATAAAATCATCATAAATGCTATTATTCTGATTGTCATAAATCTTCAGAGAGAATCCTTAAAATTGTCAAAACCTCAGATCCATAAAACCACAACTCCTCAAATCCTTATAACCTCAATCATAAATCTTTAAGTCCTCAAAAAAGTCAAACTACATAAATGTGCTCAGAGCCATAAAAACCACAAATCCTCAGAAATCTTTCAAATCTCATCAATTATCAAGTTTCATCATAGAGAAGAATTAATTTTTAGATCTTCATTTCTAAAATCATATTTGCTTGAATTTCAGCGAAGATTTTAGCGAATTCCCCATTAATTCCCTCTTTGAAAGTGGCTCAACTAAAACACCGAAATTGCAGAAAGTATACTACCGATCAGTAGAATCATTGCGGTCCTCAAACTATCGGTCCGCTCGCCGATGAAGTTAAAAACCATCCCTCGCCAAATTTACGAGAAACACCGCTCGACGCAACATTAACAAACCGAGTCTCGATTTACGCGTCAGGCGCGAAAAGTCGGCGTCGTATGCATCGTCGAGGAACGAGGGAGAGAGATAAATCCGGGGGGAGGGGGGAAAAAAGGATATGAAACATACCGAGAGAACCGGGGCGAAAGAGGGACAAAAAGGAGAAATGAGACGAGCGCAGGAGAGAACGCGGGGGGAGAGAAGCAGAGCAATGTCGGACGGTCTATCTATAGACCACCTATAGACTACTAGGACGAGATAATTGCGTGGGGGTGAAGTTGCAATCGCGGACGCAACTGGTGGCGACGGGGTTCGATTCTTCTCCCTCCCCCACCTCCCCGACCCCGTCTCCCACCGCCGGTTGCAGGGGGTGGGCACGTAATCGACGCGTGCACGTACGTGCATAAGAGATGCATCTGTGTGTACGTCGAGGAAAATCACGGAACGATGTCAACGACCTGGCTGTCGGTTTCCAATCTCGCTTCTCTCGCTTTCTCCCTTTCCCCTCGTTCCTTTTCTGATGGCCGATGCCGCCGCTGTTGCCGATCATTATGTCACGTTGCAACAATTATACCCTTCCCTCCATACGCCGTTAGATTATTCAAGATCTAGATCAACCCTGTGTGATCTTCCACTTTATTCCGGTGTTATTACTCGTCGTTTTTATTCGCGTCGCTGCATCAAAATTTATGATTCGTGTATAACACCTACACAACACACTTTACTTGAGGAACGTCCTGGGGTGGCTGGGATTAACATTTTTAAAACGACATTTACATGAGATTTTAACACGCGTTCTACAATAAGCCATTAATCATAAATCAGAAGTTAGAAGCTGGAAATTGACCTGTCACGGTCGTCAATTTCCAGCTTCTAACTTCTGATTTATGACTATATGTAGAATACTATATGTAGCTTATTGTAGAACAGCCATAAGGTGTAAATCTTAAAGAGTCCTAAGTCATAAGAAATTGACCAATCAAAATCGAATATGAAGAAAATAATTGACTGGTCAATTTCTTACGGCTCAAACTTAAAGCTTAAGCTTTACGCCTTGAAATCTCATTGTCAGTGTTTTCCATTATCTAGATAATTATATAGATGAAGAAATGGCTTTATCTTATCTTTATCTAGATTATTAAGAATATAGATTATCTTTATCTTATCTTAGATAAAATCCTTTTCAAATTGACTAAGATTGTAGAAGAATATTGTAAAAAAATTTCTATATAACTTCTATTAGTAGTGATGATGAGAATTTTTTTATGGTATACATAAAACTGGAATTAGTATGACAGTCTGCAGTCATAATTCAAAGCGACATCGAAGTACTTTCATATTTAGAAGATAAATCTAAGGAATTAGATATTCTTAATTTGTATCCACACGTCAAACAAATTTTTTTTAAATATGACACATCATTGTCATTATCAGCGCCAGTAGAGCGCTTTTTTATTTGTGGACAACAAATATTAATTCCATGTAGAAACTGTTTGTTAGACGAAATGTACAAAAAATTTTTATTCGTAAAAAAATAAAGATTAATGAAAATATAAATACATTTTTTATATCCTAATGCCCAATTTCTTTACTTCCAGATAAGTTGCGGATACCCTTATCCAAGAGATATCTCTATTGTATACTGAGAAATATCTCTTGGATAAAGTTATCTAGAGGTGAAGAAATTGGGCATAAATCGTTTTACTGCCTAATAGTTAGTTAAAAACAAAGTTATCTTAAAAATTATCTCTAGATAAAAATTTTTTTAATTTCATCTTTTATCTAGATTAATATAAAGTTAATCATCTTCATCTTATCTAAGATACGTTTTTGTGTGATTTATCTTATCTATATCTAGAAAATTTTTAATTATTGTATCTAAGCGCATTGTACAAGCCGCTTAATCTACCAAAGGAACGTTAAGGAACTTTTTGTTGGAGCAGCCTGTTGCTAGAAACAACCTCCACTGAGTGAACTCAATTCGGAGGAACATTTTAGTCTTGTTCCAGTTATAAAGTTATTGAGACAACAATTTGTTTCCGCAACTTACTGTATCCACCAGATCGACAAAGGCTACGTTCTGCAAAACACATAATGCGCATGATGCATCATTGAAGCAACATAAGAAACAGAATGTGGCCAATTGTTGCCTATACTTGTTGCTCCTATACAGAAACAGGCAACGTGTGTTTCTATTTCTGGCGGCAATAAGGAACATACTGGAATATCGGAAGACATACTGGAACTTTTACGGAAACTGGCAAAAGAAATACAAGTGTTGCCCTACGTTCCTTCGATGGATATGCATTTTTAGGAAATAGCACCTAGTGTAAAATTATCTTTAATGATACACAAATTAGTGAAAAAAATGCATGTAATTTTACATGGAAATTACACGTATATGACTGGAAAATTATCTAAATTACATAAATATGCTTAGAAACTTACTAGAAATTGTAAATTTCCAATCATATTTAGGAAATTTTCCAGTCATAAACATTTCCATGTAAAATTACATGCATTTTTTCAGTGTACAAGAAAAGTACTGAATATTCCAGGTTCAATTTTTTATCTTGCTGATTTGGTCCAGCTAGCTCAATAGAGGTAGACGTAGTCTTCTGGATGTCTTTTGAAGGTCTGTGCTGTACGAGCAGAAAGCTCTTTTTTTCTTCGTCTCATGAAGTATTCGAAGCGGACAAAGTTTATTATCTATGAAGTTCTAATACTTGAAACTGCATAGAATTCTTTCAAGTTCTATCTAAGATAAATAAATACTGGTTTTAATTCAATTCTATACGTTCTTATCTATTTAACTGTCGGAAAACCGACTTTGGAAACACCGTCTGTTATGTGATCAACAGGTTCGCGACTTGTAAGATCCATTCCAAAACCGCCGATTAGTTTCAATTTCAGTGTTCATTTAAATCAGCGTTCGCATGAATCTTTCAATTTTACCGAGAATGTAAACACATTACGCACACTGAAAAAAATTTCTGGTTGAAAATGGACGAATCAGAATTTTCTGATTAAATTTATTAGAATTCTGGTTGATACAATATTTCTGGTAAAATCTACTAGAATTCTCATTTTTACCAGAATAATTATATCAATCAGAATTCTAATTATCTCAACTAAAATTCTAATAGATTCAACCAGAAAATTCTGATTCGTCCATTTTCCACCAGAATTACTATTTAATCCAACCAGACCATTTTTCTCAGTGCATGCGAGCAATATCACAAAAAAGTCTAAAAAAATTTTCTGTAACGAATGTCAAGTTTTATTCCAGATAGACGTTACAAATTCCGAGCACAGTTCGTTCCTCGCTCGCCTGCATTTTCCTGCTTCGAGAGCAGCGTGTAGCCACTCCTTGTCCCTCCTTCGGATGTCTCGCAAATAACCGATAGCTGCATAATCAAGCGGCAATGTCATAAAGATAATAATCGCGAAGGTCTCGCGGGTGGCGACGCTCCGATGGCTTTAATTACCCTGGCAATCTCGCCAGCCGACAGATAAACGCAGCGGAACGTCTCGGTACACCTGCGAGCAGAGGTGAATGTATCTCTTTGTCGCGCCGTGGGACGCGAGCGCGAGCGCATGGAAGGGTACCGTCGAGACGAATTAGGGCTCCCGCCCGGTATATTTGCGTCTCTCTAGCCGCGTCCTCGAGCCCGACGGAGGCAGAAAGGAATAGAGGAAGAGAGAAAGAGAGCGTACCCTCGATAACAGGATCGATAAACATCGTTACTATTACACGGCAAACAGAGCGCGAGCGCGCTAACTACGGTGCCTCTCCTCTCGAGTCTCAAGGATATCGTTACGAGGACGAACGGATCGATGCCCGATGGATCGTCGTGGAAGTATCCAGGACGGCCACCGTCCTGGAGGCGCGAAACGAGCCGATTGCTCCGATTTCCTAGTATTCATTTTGCATGAATCCGTGATCGAATAACTCGCGGAGAACGCAACGTGTAGAGGATACCGTAAAAAAAAAATGAACATTGCAGTTCTGTAATAGTCTGTTATTTCATAGATAACGGATAATAGAATTTTATAAATAATATGGATGATTAATAGAACTATAATAGAACTTTCGAAACTATGATAAGTAGTGGAGGGGATTGAGCCATAGATATCACATTTCTAAAATTAGACATTCCGTATAGACGTTTAAAAAGTGTATTAAGTCATAAATACAATTGATACTGAAATTTGATGAAGATGATTAAATGGGAGTTTTTAATTCAAATAAAATCGTTGGTTTTAATGGTAAATCATTATTAGAGTTCGATATTATAAACATAGAAATGTCTGAATATCTACAAATAAGCGAATAAAGCCGATGGTCAAAGCGGATTTTGATGCCTGATAATATTATTTTCACGTA